GGTTCAAACCCACCAGCCACTCCTCGGAAGGAAGGTTGGGCAATCTACTTCCATAGTGATACTGCCTCGGAAACCCAAGGAGGAGTCACTATGAGTTGGATCCGACTCGATAGTACATAATAACAACATATTAGATTTAAAACAAAAGCCATTTCTGTAGAGTGGATTTTGATTCATGGTTACACTATGTTATGGAGTAGAATTGTTTCATAAGGTTTTCTTGGCAGATTACATTCCTTTCTTCTGTGGCACTACTGGGCAAGTTTCAAACAGCCAACCTTTAGGTTAACAGCCACCCACAAACTTATGCCCCCAAAGATCTATATATTTTGTAGGATCTTCCTCCTTCATTCTTTCCTTTCTTCCTTGCTATCTATCTATCTATCTATCTATCTATCTATCTATCCATCCTATCAATAAGATAAAACAAATAAGTAATTATGTTAATGTCCTTAGGAACCAAGATTTCTATAAGAGAAAGAAATATCAAGTAAAATTAGTAAAAGACATGTAATCTTAAATTTGAATTGAAAATATAAATAGAAACCAATCATGCCTTTTCTCTTAAAAATTTTTCCTACCTCTGTGCATTAACATGATCTAAAAACAAGGACCAACCTAGTAGCAGTGCACACCTCTAGAACCCATATTATATTCTCGTAATACTATTTGTTGTTGTGCCATTGAGTTGGACCCGACTCATAGCGACCCCTCCTTGGGTTTCCGAGGCAGTATCACTATGGAAGTAGATTGCCCCATCTTCCTTCCAGTAATACTATTTATCACTTAAAAAAAAAAAAAAAAAACACTAAGATTTCTTGTGGAAATACTGGATTCCAGATATGGGACAAGAAAAATCAAGATTAGTGTGGAACATCTTGTCATACCTGGAAGCTATCCAGGACTATTGGGGTCCTGTCAAAAGAACTCGGGAGCCTAAAGATACTCCAACCAGACTGAGATGAGACAATTTTGGCATCAATAACAATAATAAATGCAATTGAGTGAAATACATCAAGATTATAGGCATACCTCATTTTGTTCTGCTTTGCAGTTACTGCATTTTTTACATATTGAAGGTTAGTGGTAACCCAATTTTGAGCAAGTCTGTCAGTACCATTTTTCCAACAGTGTGTGTTCACTTCATGTCTCTGTGTCATTTCAGTGATTCTCACACTATTTCAAACTTTTTCATTATGCTATTGCACATGTAATAGATTGCAATATAGTGTGAAAACGTTTACATGCATTGAGAAAGCAAAAAAATTTGTGTGACTAACTTTATTGCGTTATTAGCTTTATTGTGGTAGTCTGGAATTGAACTCGCAATATCTCTGAGGTATGCCTGTATTTAAAATTATGCATTAATAATATTAACAAAACAAATTCAATTCACCAGTCACTTTGGAGAATGCTAGGGAATCAAGTCATTATTTTGGAAACATAAATATAGGGAAAGAATTAATAACTGCTTTGCCTTTCCTGTATAACTGTTCTACAAAGGGATTGAATAGTTGATGCAGAATTTTTTCTTTAAAGACCCATTCCAGCTAACAAATGACACAGAATGGTACAACTATAATAACACCATTTTTTGGCTGTTAATGAAACAGTGAGGAGTTGTGGTCCAGTGACAGAATTCTCACCTTCCATGCAGGAGACCTGGGTTTGGTTCTTGTCCAGAGCATTGCAAGTGCACCTACTCCCTATCTATAAGCATAGGTTTGCATGCTTTTACAATGCTAAACAGGTTGCAGAGGACCTTCTAGACTGAAAGAGACTAGGAAGGAAAGCCTGGCAATCTACTTCTGGAATCTCTGTGAATCATAACAGCTCCATCATGTTGTTCATGAATTTGCCTTGAGTTCAGAACTGAATAACAATGAATTAATAGATCTAGGTAGTTATCATCAATGGCTGATGACCTCCGGAAACAACATCCAGTTGTTGCGTGAATCTCAATAGAAATACACAACACCATCTATGGAGGAGTCTTGAGAAAAAAAAAAAAAAATCAAACCTACAATCAAACCATTAGATTGGACTACCAAGTTCCTTTACAGAGGCGCTTCTGAAATGACACTATGAGGATGCAAACTGCAAAATCCAGAAAGTAACAAACAATGCATAGTCCACCCAATTTATTCAATAAATAAAATGCAAGGAAAAAAAGAGGGAGAAATTTATCAACCAAGGGCAACAACAAATGGACCTTACTTGGATCTTGGTTGAAAAAATTGTCAAAAAAAAAAAAGAGGAAATCTTGGAAATTTGAACACTGAGTGAATATGTGATGATATTAAGGACTTCTTATAAATTATTTTAGTCGTGATAATGGTATTATTCTTATATTTTTAGTAATCAGTATCCTTTAAAGATAGAGATTGAAATTTTTAGGGATGAAATGACATAGTGTTTGGGATGTGTATCAAAATAATCCATTGGTGGTGATGGTGAGAAAGTGATAAAAATAAAGATGAAATGAGTTTGGCTACTCATTGACAATTTTTGAGGCTAAGTGATGGTACATATAAGTTCATTCCATTATTTTTCCTACTTTTTTATATGTTTGAACTTTGCCACATTAAAAAGTAAAAATTTAAAAATCAAGAAATTTAACTTACATTAACATATCGAGATAATTTTTTCTCAAGTATCAATTCAACATCTGGGAGAGGAATATTTGTGCTCTTTGGTCTAGTAGATGTCCTCAGGTGTATAACATGATTCCCATCTTGTAGGAAAGGCATAACATCAGGTAGCTCCCATATCACCATAAGGCAAATATCATCTTCCTTACCCTTTAAAATTCAAAGTACATAAAATATTAATCATTTTGTTGTGATCACTTTTAATGGTATAGAGAAAAGTAGAACACACACTCACATACCCACCCTCCAGCTTTATCAAATCTTTTTGTTGTTAGTTGCTGTCAACTTGGCTGTGACTGATGGCAACCTTATTATAACAGAATAAAATTTTGCTCAGCCCTGTGGCATCTTCATTATTGTTGGTATGTTTGAGTTCATTTTTGTAACTACTGTATCAATTCACCTCTTTGAGATTATAAAATCTAAGTCCTGTTTATATCCCTCCCTAAAGGAGTCTAGGCAGTCCAATGGTTAAGTTGATAACCACAAGATAACCAACTGATAACCACAAGATCAGTGGTTTGAACTCACCAGCTACTTTGCAGAAGACATGGTCATTTGCTCCCTTAAATATTTCATCCTCTGAAATGATACAGGACAGTTCAATTCTGTTCTGTGTGGTTGCTATGAATCAGAATTGACTTGACAGCACATATTTCTCCCTAAAATAATTTCCTTTCTGCCTTCCTTCCCTAGTGGTAACCACTAACTCTAGAATGTGGCGTTAGTCATGAAAGTTTATAAATATATATACATACAGAAACATATGTATATATGCCATCGAGTTGATTCTGACTCATATTGACTCCCATTGGTTTCTGAGGTGGTAAATCTTTATGGAAGTAGATTGCCCCATCTTCCTGCCATGGAGCGGCTGGTGGGTTTGAACCGCCAGTCTTCTGGTTAGCAGTCAAATGCCTTAGGCACTGCACCACCAGAGCTCCTATATATACACATACACTATATATATATAATTTGTTTTGGTTACCTAGTGCTACTCTGACAGGAATATACCACAAATGGGATGGCTTGAAAAAACAGGAGTTTATTCTCTTACAGTTCAGGAGGCTAGAAGTCCGAATTCAAAGTGGCAGGCCCTAGGGCTGTATGAAAGCCCCTCAACCTTGGTCTTCAGCTCTGCCTCTTTTCCTGGCCCACTGAAGCTAGAGGCATCTCTTCACCCAGGAAGTAGTGGCTGCTGAGGCTAACAAGCCCAAGGTCCACAAATAAAATGGCACAGTCCCGACGTTACCAAACCACACAGCAGGCCATTAATTCAAGTCCATTGTAAGTCCCAAGATCGGTGGAGCATGACAGGCTGCTGAACAATGACATGGCTACATGTAGGGCTCAAGCATTCCATAAGCTAGAGACCATTCCCAAAGCTGCTGCTTATACACAGGAAGCAGATCACATGCCTAAAGTAACTACTCAGCTGCTCCAATACACTCCACCATGGAGTTAATTACCAATCTTACCATGGAGAATAACTACATCCAGCTGTCCAGCCACTCAACCAGGCCTAGCTAAGTTGACACATAAACTTAACCACCACAATACTATTTTCAGGCTTCTTAAAACTTTATATAAATATTATAAAACTGTATGCATTCTTCTTCAACTTATTTATTTAACTGAATGTTTTATTTTTGAGAATTCCACAAGTTGTTACATGGAGCTCTAGTTCATTTATTTTTAACTGCTTTAATTATTTTGTATATATACTATAACTTGTTTATATATTTCCCTAATGATAGATGTTTAGGATGTGGTCAATTTTCCACTGACTGTTTTTATGGATGTATGTCATAGTTTCTAGAGCATATGTGAATTACAGAATTGTAATGAATGAGTATCATAAACTATATAGATATTAACAAATGGCTCTTCAACATATTGTTATTCATTTGCACTTTCACCAGAGGTGAGAGTTCCCCTTTCTTTGCATTCTTGCCAGCACTTAATATTACTAGATTTAAAAACGTTTTGTTCATCTGATTAGTTAAAAATAGGATAATTTGTATTGCCTAAGGCATCTTTGACTGCTAACCAGAAGGCTGACAGTTCAAACCCACCAGCCACCCTCGGAAGGAAGACTGAGTAATCTATTTCCATAGAGATACTGCCTCGGAAATACAAGGAGGGGTCACTATGAGTCAGAACCAACTCAACGACAGTGAGTTTATTTTAGGTTAGCTATACTAATCACCTTTTCCTACTTATTAGTGAGTTGAACGTTTTTTTCATTTTTTTTTTTTTTTTAGCTATTCCTTACCTGTTCTTTGTTCATTTTTTGCCTTCACTGGGTTGCTTGTATTTCTTCTGGATTTGTAGGATTTCTTTAGATATTTTGGTTCCTAATTTTTATCAGTTATCTGGGATGCAATCCTTTTTAGAGTCTCTGATTTGTCTTTTCACTTTGTTCTTTCTAAGTTAAATTTTTAATATAAATGTATTAAGCATATCTTTTGATATGAAATCTTTCTATCTGTGAATGTGGTATATCTGATCTCCATTTGTTATCCAGGTTGATTTCTATGTTCTTCAAGAATAGTTTTCATGGTGGCTAAGGTGGCAGACTAAGCAGATATACTATCCAGGCCCTCTACAATAAAGAATAAGAAACCAAGTGAAATGGATACTGATGACAGTCCTGGAACCTAGAGCTTTAAAACAAAGGATAAAGAAGCAGATCAAATACCAATTAGAGGATGAAATTGAATGAAAACAGAGAACAAGGAGGGATATAGAGTGACAGATTGCCAACAGGCTCAACACAGACTAGACATTTTGAATTATTGCAGGCAGTATTCTGATCAGAGCAGGAACCAGATAACCGGTTTTCCTTTCCCAGGTCTGCACCTGCATCCACATCAGTGATGAGTGACCAGAGAGGTATGATCCCCCAATCCCACACCACCTCCCAGTGACCAAAGGTGCGCACCACATCCACCTATCCAGTAACTGATGAAACTCCCCCAACTGCCAGTGCTGTGCTACTTTTTTTCTTTTTTCTTAGTACTTCTTTCTTCCTTTTCTTTTTTTTTTTCCGCTTCCACTTATATCTTTCTCTTTTATTTATTTTTTTTCTAATCCCATAGAACAGGTGCCCTGTCCCTGCCACCTCTACAGTCAGCAGCACCTGTATCCACACTTCTGCAGTTGGCTTTGTGTGCTTCCACAGAGTGAGCACCAAGCATCACATTGCTGTTTCAGCTGTTTGCCAGTTACCACTTGCACTGTGCCACTTTATTTCCTTCATATGCTTCCTTCACCCCCTCTTCATTTTTTCTTTTCTTTCTCTTCTCATGTTTTTTTTTTTTTTTTAAATCCTGCAGAGTGGGCATCCTGCCTCCTTCTACTTCTGCATCCAGCAGTACCCATCCTTATCCTTCTGTAAGCACCATGTGTTCCCTGCACCAGTGTTTGGTAGCTAGCACTTGCACCACTACTGTGCTGTATTTTTTTTCCTTTTATTTCTTTATAGTTCTTTGCTTCTTCCCCTTATTTTTTCTTCCTTTTCCCCCATACCACCTCCATTTTTTTGATCCTGTAGAATGGGAACACTGCCTACTACCATCTCCTCAGTCAGCAGCAACTCCCTACCCAACAGTTGATGATGTGGGCTCCCATGAATTGAACAACACATTCCCACTGCAGTCATGTTGGTGGCTAGCACTCGTGCCAGTACTATACCATTTGTTTTCTTTTATTCTTCTTAGTCCCTCTTCTTTCCCTCTTTTTTTTCTTCTCCCTCTCCTTTTTTTCATCCCCATCAGACAGGAACTATTGACATTACCCACCATACATGCCACCCAAGTGGGCAATGGCCACCACCTGTTCCAGCACCAATGAATCAACAATAGACAGTGACCAATACCCATACTACCTACCCTCAGCTGCTCTACATGGCCAGTGATTAGAGACTCACATGCACATTCACAACCACTACCAAATTCACCTGGAGACAGGTGGTGAGCACCTTAGTGCTGCCAATCTAATGAACAGAGTAGCACCCACACCTTATTGTCCAGATATTTTAAAACAGAACAACAACAAAAAAAAATTCCAGGTGAAACAAACCAACATACAGTGAAAAATACAATAACACCATAATGTCTCAGAGACATCAAATCAAACAGAAAAACAGGAAAAGATGCCTCAAACAAGTGACCAAAATAGAGCACTAGAAAGTCTTCCATAGGACAAAATACTATTGGAGCAATCTGATACATAATTCAAAAGAAATTATACTTAGGTCCCTTCAGAAGATTAAGGAAGAGATAAGCAAACAAAGATAAACAAAGACAACACCAAAGAAATCATAGAGAAAATTAAAAAAAAAAAAAACAGACAAAACTCTACAAGAATTTATTAAAACAATTCAAGAAAAAATTGACAGTATAAATGGAAAATTAGAAACCATATAAAAAGAGTGAATAGAAATCCAGAAAATTAATAGTAAAATTTCAGAAATAGATAACACATTGGAAGGGTACAGGAGAAGTAGTGAGTCAATGGAAGACAAAAACTAGGGAAATTGAAGATAAATCACTTAATACTAATTTCTTAGATGAGCAATCAGAAAAAAGAATGAAAAAATGAATACAGCCTAAGAATTATGTGAGACATCATCAAGAAGAATAACTTACATATACTTGGCCTACCAGAATTGGGAAAAGAAAAAAAAGCACCAAGAAAATTGTCAGATTTGTTGGAAGAAAACTTCCATAATACTATGAAAGAAGAACAGATAGGCATTCAAGAAGCTCAATGAACCCCAACTAGGGCAGACCAAAAAGGAAATCATCAAGATATGTCATAATCAGACTTTCTAAAACCAAAGATAAAGGAAATATCCTGACAGCATCTAGGGGAAAATTATGTCATTTACAAAGGTGAGATAAGAAGATTAAACTCTGATTTCTCAGCGGAAACTATGAAAGCAAGGAAGCAATGAGATGACACACACAAAACTCTGGGGGAAAAAAAAATGCCAACCAATAATTATGTATCCAGCAAAATTGTCCCTCAAATACAATGATGACATTTACAGATAAACAGAAATTAAGAGAATTTGTAAAAACCACACCAATCTTACAAGAAATATGAAAGGCAGACTTTTGGACAAGAACCAACATCAGACAATA